AAACTCTTTAGTGTATTTTTTTCAAATGTGATACTCCAATGTGGCGGGCAAATGAGTCATTACACATCCAAAAGAATTAAATGGATCACAAAAAAAAAATATAGGACTATATAAATTACAAATTCAAAATATAAGATTTATTGGTCAATCCCTTTTGTTTATATTCCACAAATCTAAATTATTTTCGAATAATTCTATTTACACACCACAAACTGTCACAATACACACCATTTACTCATTACACAAAACACTCAATTTTGATTTCCTATTTTTCACTCAATACATACCAACACCATCAATTTTCATAACTCCCCGCCTCCGATTGTTGCCCTTCCACAACGTTCTTCCTCTCTTGTATCTACCACCACTGCGAACAACCCCGCTCCTCTCACCATTGCCAACAACTTCATCTTATACTCTCGTTGTTGCAACAAACCCTGCATCGCGATTTATTCCCTCACTCCCTCCATTGTAACCTAGCTCTCCATTGCATATATATATATAGAGAGAGAGAGAGAGAGATAGAGAGAGAGAGAGAAAGAAACACAACGAAGAAGAAAAAGAAGAGAGAGAGAGATGTGTCAGAGAAGGGAGTTAGAACAGAACGCGATGAATTGCGATGGCAACGCCGGGCAAAAGGTTTGGTCGTGACGGCGATGGTGGAAGGTGAGGATGTTGGTAATGGCGAGGAACGAGGTTGTTAGTAGTTGCAATGGTGATTATTGATGGTGATGGACGCGGAGGCTGGAGATAGTGAGGGAGGAAGAGTGAGAGATGAAAAAGTAATGAAGAGATTCGCCAGAGAAGAAGGAGGAGGAGGAGGAGGAGGCAAGGGGGGCGACGAGCTACTGGCGGCGTCAGCGATGACTAGGGTTAGGGTTGGTGGTGTAGGGGTGGTTTGGTATGGTGTGGATTGAGAAATGAATATGAAAGTTAAAAGGTGATTGACTAAAGGGATAAAGTTGTAATAAAAAAATTTAAGAAAATGACGTGTAATGAGAGGATAAATAGAATTTTTTATTATTATTTTATGTTTTAATAAATTTATAGGTGATATAATTATCAAAATATCCGTAATAATAATAAAGTTAAGCGCATATTAATGTTCACATAGTCCATATGAACATTCATATTGTTAAATTTATTTCATGTAAATGTTTACATTACCAAATTGCTAAGGGTTCAAAAAATATTTATAAAGGTACAATTGTTCATAAAGTACATTAAATATAAAAATTAAGATTTGATAGATTAAATGTCCAAAATAATAAAATTTATTAAAATAGAATAATATCTTATAAACTAACGTGTAATGAGAGGATAAATAGAATTTTTTATTATTATTTTATGTTTTAATAAATTTATAGGTGATATAATTATCAAAATATCCGTAATAATAATAAACTTAAGCGCATATTAATGTTCACATAGTCCATATGAACATTCATATTGTTAAATTTATTTCATGTAAATGTTTACATTACCAAGTTGCTAACGGTTCAAAAAATATTTATAAAGGTACAATTGTTCATAAAGTACATTAAATATAAAAATTAAGATTTGATAGATCAAATGTCCAAAATAATAAAATTTATTAAAATAAAATAATATCTTATAAACTAATTAAGTTGCAGTACTTGAAAGAGGACTTTCTAATAAGTTCTCTAATATTTTTGCCTATATAATAGTATAGATAGGTATAGATAATTTGCCATGTTGTGACGCATATGAATTATTTTGAAGGTGTCAATATTGAATTAAACATTAAAAGTAACTTGAAAATCGTGTTTGAATTGATTTTTGTGCTAATTCTTTGTTCAAGTTCTATCGTTGGAGAATTATCTTAGTTGATACCCAATCAATTAGTTATTTAGCCCACTTGTTTATTTAATTATTAAATTGATAAATATTTTTTGAATAATAAATGTGCAGTAAATAATTTGATGCCTAGACACCACATGTAATTTTTAGTTTTTAAAAAATAAAAAATTTGATTAATATTTTTATATAAATATTTTTTAAAATTTGAAATTATAAAATACTACAATTATATTTGGAATTTATTTTTAAGAAATTTTAAATTTCACATTAGATATGGATTAAATATGGCTAGATTTATTTATTTATTTTGCTTTTTATATAGAGATTTTTCAATTTCAAAATTATATATATGATTGAATGGGCAAATTCAGATTATTGTAGATTCTTTGCCATATTTTTAATCGAAGAAAAATTTAAAACTTAACATATTGATTATTAGAGCATTTAATGAAAAGATAAGAAAAATATCAATAAAATGAAAAGAACTAATACTATAATTAAAAATGTGTTTTTGATATTTAAAAGTTGAGAAAATTAGATTAAAACTTTAAGCCTCAAAGGGGCAATAATGGTATTATAGATATCAATAGTTCGTTAAGTTGTGACAAATATGACCTAGTTTGAAGGTGTTAATATTGAATTGAACATTAAAAATAGCTTAAAAATTGAGTTTGAATTGATTTTTATTTTAGGGTCCAGCCTGTCTCAAGTTGAGATCAAGACTGGACCCGTCCAGTTCAGTCTATGGAGCCCATTTTTTGGGCCCGTTTTGATAATCCGAACCGTTCAATGTGTAGAACTCGTCGAGTACTACATACCTATAAAAAATCACGTTGATCGGATATCAATAGCTATGTGATTAAATCAGTTTTGTATAAAAAAAATGGACGGTGAAACAATTAACGGTTGGTAAAAAACTATTTTGTTCATATAGCTATCAATATCCAATCAACGTGATTTTTTACAGGCATATAGTACTCGACGAGTTCTACACATTGAACAGTTCGGATTATCAAAATAGGACCCGTGATAAACCCCCATAAACCCAACAATACGGTCCAGTCCGACCTTGGACTGGACCAAAACCACTGCCTTTATTTTAATTGTTGGCTCAAGTCCTATCGTTAGAGCATTGTCTTTATTCATGCCGAATTAATAAGTTATTTGGCCTACTTGTTTATTTAATTCTTAAATTGGTATATAATATATATCTTTTGAAGGATAAATGTATAGTAAATATTTTGCTGTTTAAAAGATTCTTAATTTTTTTAGATGACGCATATTTTTTAGTTTTTAAAAATAAAAATTTTGATTACTATATTTAAATAAATATTTTTAAAACTTGAAATGATATAAGACTACAATTATATTAGGAATTTCTTTTAGAAAAAATTTAAATTTCAAATTTAATATGGATTAAATATGCCTAGATTTTTATTTATTTTTACTTTCCATATAAACAATTTTGAATTATGAAATTAAAAAAAAAATTTAAATGGGACAACTCAGATTATTGCAGATTTGTTCGCCACATTTATAATGAAAAAAAAAATTGAAAATTTATCATATTGATTATTAAAGTATTTAATGAAATGGTGAGAAAAATATCAATAAAATAGAAATAATCAATTACATAATTACAAATGTAATTGTTATACTTAAAAGTGAATCCTAAGTTAGGAAACCAAACAAGCTAATTAGAAATTTGAGCCTTGAAGGGGCAAAATGTTTTTACTTATATAATAGTATAGATGTGTTTAATAAAATATTTTTAATTATGAAATGGTATAAGAATATAGTTATATTTGGATTTTTTTTAAAATGTTTCAATTTGAAATTAGGTATAGATTAAATATGGCTATTTATTGGAAAAGTTAGTGAAATTTCCCTTTTCAACTTTTGATAGTAAGAGAAGTTCAATATATTTTTTTCTGATTTGTTAATATCTTTCAATGATATTATTAGAGAAATTTCTCTTTGCTAAAATTTCTCTAAGAAAATGTTGAGGGACTCCAATTACTATAAAAATATTACATGTTATTTATTTTATAAAACTTATTATTTATATATATAAAAAAATAATAAAAATCCCTATTTTATTTTTTTACTTTCTGTACAATGATTTTTAAACCATGAAATTATGGAAAACGATTAAATGGCCTAACTCAGATTATTGCAGATTTTTTTGCCATATTCATAATTAAGTAAAATTGAAAGATTACTATATTGATTATTAGAATATTTAATAAAATGGTAAATTCTGAAAGTAAAATGATATAAAACTTCATTTTTTAAACTCATTTTCTAGATCCAATGATGTGTAAGTGATATGATTAGTTGATAATTAGGGAAGATATGTAAGAGAGTGTTGCCTTACATATCTTAAACGATTGCCACATCATTGGGCTTGAAAGTGAGTCTAATTTTTGGACTTAAATAGCAATGTTCATTATGAAATTATAGAAAACGATTAAATGAGCCAACTGAGATTATTGTAATTTTGTCATATTATAATTAAAGAAAAATTGAAACTTACCATATTAATTATGGTAAGTTGAGATATTGAGTTTTTAGTAAAAAAATTATTATAAGTTATCACATTACTCTTTTTATTTTTTTGCATAATTTTTCATAAAAAATTTAAAAATTAACTAAAATAATCAATTCTCAAACAGAACCTAATGAAATAATAAAAAATATTAATAAAATAAAAATTACCAATACAGTAGTATAATTACAAATGTATTTCTTATCTCCCCGTTTGGCAAGTTAGGTTTTAGCTTTTTTTGGATTAAATTTAAAAAAAAAAAAAAAAAACAAAATAGACTAAAATAACTAGTAAGACAAAATGTTACATTAAATCTATAATAATTTCACTTTTTCTCTTACAAACATTACATTCAATTATAAAAAAATCAATCATCTTCTAAACAAAAAAATTTTAACTTACTAAAATAGATAAAAACTAAAATACTATATTAAAATAACCAACTTTCAAATGAGGCTATATATGTAATACTAATTTAGAAAAATCTAAATAAATATATATTTTTAATTTTTTTCAAAATAAAAAATATAATAAATTAATAATATAAATCAAATAAAAAGTAATCTTACTCAAATAAAATAAAAAAACACATTCCAAACATCGCCTTCCATTAATTTTACATCTCGATCTCCGTGCCGAGCTGGACGATTTCGAGAAGACTATAAATTACACTTACATAAATTACACTTATTATTATCATCACTACTCTCACAGCAGTTACCGAGAGGTCACGATCTCCATATCAACCATGGCCGAGAATCCAATCCGATTCGGAATATTAGGGTGCGCCGGCATAGCGCGCAAGGTGTCAAGGGCCATCATTCTGGCCCCCAACGCCGCCCTCTACGCCATCGGCAGCCGCTCCATCGACAAAGCCTCGAAATTCGCCGCCGCAAACAGCTTCCCTCCCTCCGCCAAGATCTACGGAAGCTACGACGGCGTTCTCGACGACCCCGCCGTCGACGCCGTCTACGTCCCCCTCCCCACCAGCCTGCACATCCGGTGGGCGGTGTTGGCGGCGGAGAAGAAGAAGCACCTCCTCCTCGAGAAGCCAGTCGCTCTCAATGTCTCCGAATTCGATCAGATTCTCAAGGCATGCGAAGCTAATGGAGTTCAGTTCATGGACGCTACTATGTGGATGCACAATCCCAGGACTGCTAAGATGACGGAATTTCTATCTGATTCGCAGATTTTTGGCCAACTCAAAACGGTAAATTTTGATTTTTATTTCTTAAATGCACTAGTCCCACCACAAGTGTCAAAACTCAAAATGCTAATTCTGATTAACCATAATAGCGATAATTAGATTAAGTTACGGTGATGTGGTTTGTATGTAAATGTATCGGAAAAGCCAGATGAGTTGTCAAGTTTAGGAGGTGAGTATTATAATTAGTGGGGAATCTGAGATATTTTGATTTTGTATTAAATAGTTAAAGACAAAGGAGAGTCATAATAAATAATGATTTATAAAAGAATATGGACAGTTATTCGGCAAGGGCTTAGGTTTCGTTTGGAAAGAAGAGTTGGATTGGATTTTGGATTATTTTAATTAATAAAAGAAATAAAAAATAAAATAGATTTTTTAATTTAATAAGATAAAATATCACATTAAATTCATAATCATTATATTTTTTTCTTACAAAAAATTAAAAAGTTAAAAAAAAAATATTTCCAAATAAAATTTTTTAAACCTAAATTAAAAAAATTAAAAAATTAAAAAATCAATCCACCTTCCAAATCAATCCTTAATAATGTAGACAAGACAAGCCAATTTTCTTAAATTTGTCTTGTTTGAGCACCCTGGTTATTCAAAAAGAAAAAGAAAAAAAAGAAAAAAGGCAAAGAGTGTAGTGATTGGAAATGAGGGGCAATAGAGAGTTCTAAATTGAGATCTATTTATGAGGCAAATGAAGAAAAAAAATGTCAAAACATTACATCAATGTATGAATTAGAGTTTCTTAAAGTTCTTAGTTTAGAGCTCTCACACATTTTTAATTAAAAATACAGAGGTATTTCAAAAAATAAAGGGCTTATTTAGTTTGTTTTTGAGAGAGTTATTTTTGAAAAAAAATTAGGAAAGTTGTTTTAGAATTTTTTTTGGTTTGTTTGGTTGTATATTTTGAAAGTAGTTTTGGAGTTTGGGATGATTTGATATTTTGTTGTAATTGAGTAAATGTGTGTGAGAGAAAAAGTGATTGAGAAGGAGAGAGGAGAGAGAAAAAGTGATTGATTGATGTGTGAGAGAGAGAGTGATTTTGAAATTTTTTTGAAAAAAATCTCAAACCAAACAAATTTTTAGAATTTTTTTTCTAAAACTCATCTCTAAAACTCAAACCAAACATACCCAAAAGTTTTGTCTTCTTTTATTTATTTATTTATTTTTAATTTATGAGCAAAATTCAAAAACGTTATTGAGGTTTGATAAAAATACTAATAAAAAGAGAATATAAAAATAAAAATCTATGAGGCTGTATTGCATAGAGTTCATGTAATTCTAGACATAGAACCTAGTATTGTCTTCTAATGTTTGTACTCAGCATCTTGTATCATTTTACCCGCATTGATTCAGTATTCTAATTTTACAGTATCTAGTATTGCCTTCTAGTGTTTGTATTCAGCATCTTGTATCATTTTATCCGCATTGATTCAGTGTTCTAATTTTATAGTATTAATGTCAATTTTAATGAATTGACGGTATGAGAAGAAAAAAAAAATAAAGATCAAACTATCATATCAGTGATGTGATCCACGTCCGCTACGGAGTGTTTTGAAAAGTTAGTGAAAAGATAATTTTTTGACTTTTTTTAACTTATTTTGTCTTTTTATAAATAAATTATGTAAGAAAGGATGCGATTTAAAATAGATAAAAAGCTGAAAGTTGGTTCCTATGCCGTTTGTAGTTTATTAGTAATGTTGAATTAGTGATACGAAGCAATTTTCACCATTTTACCCATATACTTTCGCATGACTGCTGAGGTTGACATCACAGCCTCCTTGTTGGCGAAGTCATGGGTACCTTATAGTTTTGAATTTTTTTTTTCTTTGTTTGTTTTTTAAGTTGTTACATAAGCACTTGGCAATTATAATAGTATATTTTTGAATGGACGGATTATATTAATTGTTTTTAAAATTTGAAATTTATGTCATTTTGATTTTTGATTTTTTAATTATGATATATTTGATTTTAAATTTTAAATCTTACTTTAAATAAAAATAATTAAAGATATTATTGCTTCATTTTAAGGGTAAAATTGTTAATTTGATAAAAATAAATGTCAAAAAAATATTTTAAAATTTTTAAAAATTATTTCTACTCACCAAAAATAAAATTATGCAAAATTGATAAATCTTTTACACATTTATATATTTATCAAATTAATTTTTATTATGTATTTGGATGATGATCATTTAACGAGCGGTTGTTTTTATTTTCATTAAATTAGTTTCTATTTTTTCAAAAGTTAAATATGGTAACAACTTTGATTTTATTATTAAACCAATCCATTAAATAAAAACATCTTAAACTAAAAACATTTCATATATTAAATGTATCGATTACACATTAAAAGTGTAACAACCATCTATTACATGATTATTCTCCAAACACATAATAAAAATTAATTTGGTAAAATAAATAAATGTGTAAAAAATTTATTAATTTTATATAATTTTATCTTTGATGGGTAAAAATAATTTTTAAAAAATTAAATAATATTTTTTTGACATTTATTTTTATCAAATTGATTTATATTTTATCAAATTAATAATTTTACCTTTAAAATTAAGTAATGATATATTTAATTGTCTTTATTTAAAATAAAATTAAAATTAAAAATGTTATAATTAAAAAGTCAGAACCAAAATTACACGAGTCAGACAATTCACCATTTTTAAATAGATGTTTTGCTCACAACCTTCATTTCTTAGCCAGCTAACAATTTTTGTTCCCTTTTCCGCACAGATAAACAGTTGCTTCACATTTGCTGCCAATCCAGATTTTCTCAAGAACGATATTCGCGTAAAGTCGGATCTCGATGCTCTTGGTGCTCTGGGTGATGCTGGGTGGTACTGTGTCAGGTCCATCCTTTGGATTGCAGATTTTGAGCTACCTAAAACAGTAACAGCTTTGCGCGATCCAATTTTCAACGAAGTGGGGGTATTTCTATCGTGTGGCGCTTCTTTACATTGGGAAGATGATAAAGTAGCAACCTTCCATTGCTCATTCCTATCAAATTTGACCATGGATGTAACTGCTAGTGGAACAAAGGGAACTTTGCATATTCGCGACTTAATTATTCCTTTTGAAGACGACAAGGCTTCGTTTACAGTAGCGACAGAATCGGGGTTTGATGAACTCATGACGACTTGGGTACCAAAACCAAGCGAGCACACTGTCACGACCGATCTTCCTCAGGAAGCCTGCATGGTGAGGGAGTTTTCAAGGTTGGTTGCTGGCATAAAAGGAAATGGACAAAGTCCTGAGAAGAAGTGGCCAACATATAGCAGGAAGACACAATTGATTCTTGATGCAGTCAAGGCATCAATTGAGAAAGGCTTCGAACCCGTGGAGATTGTGAGTTAATTTAGACTCGGCTTTCCATGTCTGGTATTATCCCTGAACTTGGATGTTGTTCATCACATGTTAAGTTTAAGTACTTTTTAATCATCATGAGATACTTCCAACTTTGATTGTGGATGTGATAAATAAAGTACTTTTCAATCATTGTTATTTTCTGTACTGTATTTGGGAAAAAAAAACCTATTTGGTAACGATTTCTATTTATATTTACAAAAAAATTATTATTTATATGCAAAAATTGTTTGATGTGTGTTTTTGTTTCTTAAAAATTGGGAATAGTTTACAAAACTTATTAAATTCTTATAAAAAAAAATACTTACAACTATCACCTCTGTTAGCTGATAACCATCTTTAACCATAACCAACTATCAGTGGCAACTATCTTCAGCCATCGACGATCACTTTTGGTCATAGTTACCTTTGAAAATCAACAACCACCTAAACTTCTTGCCACCTCCTTTTACTTACTGTCAAAATAAGTTTTTGAAACACGTGTATATCAAACATATTTTCTATTTTCATTTTTATCAAAAATAAACGCAGACATGCTCAATATTTTTTTGTTTAAACATCATCAAATTGCACTGTAGTGTTTTCTTTGCAACTGTGGGAAATACATGGCTTCAATCATAGAAACCTTAAAATCTTCAAGGAACTAACAAAATTGCAAGAAAAACATGAAAACATGGCTTCGCAACCAACTGCTTATGCTTCCGCTATACATAGAAACACATATGAAAAATCCTCAGAGTTTGAATTGTACAGGAAAGTCAAAAAGTCAAAAAGTTAAAAAGTTACTCAAAAAATTAAAAAGTTATCACTATTCATCAAAAGTCAAAATTACGACTGCACAACTCTTAATTTTAATTTTCCTCTACACACTAATTTATATAATTTTTTAATACATATTTTTCCATAAAAAGTCAAAAAGTTAACTTAAACATCCATATTTTTTTGCTCAATTTTTTAGTCCAAAAAGACAAAAAGTGCACTTATTTAGAACATCCCAAACAACCCCTTAATGCGAATAAGTTACTATATCATTTTTCTTGCATTAATCCTGTCCTTAGCATTTCGATCTTCTTGCAAACACAGAAAATTTCCCATTTGTTTGGTCATTCTGTCATTTTTACCAAGATTTCTTGATTTTCTTAATAAATTCTATTCTCTAGATTACAATATAAAAGACTCACCCAGCAGTCATGGCCCTAATGAACCATCTTCAGGATTCCTCAAAAAGAATTTTCATCACCAGCAAAAAAAAATTTCTTAAATCTTACTTTGTAATTCAAAGTTAGAAAGGAACATGAATAGTAATAGGAGGTTTTGGCAGCTTTTACCATTCTCATTTTTCCATTGTTTTAGACCATTTATGTGAAATGAAGACATTATTAAGTTCACTATTAGAGCTTTTGGGCCTAACTGAAGATATAAAATGGTTGAGGCAAATACTGTTGGTTAGTTTGGAGCAAGGATATTTTTGGTATTTTCACGCTTGTAACATGTTTTAACTTGTCTAATTATAGTGAAAATTGTAGTAATAGTAGCCATAGCCTTAGTTTTAAAGTGAACCATATAAACCTTGTGTTTTTTCTGTGTGCGTGTGGTTTATCATTATTGCATTAATTTTTCTTTATGTTTTGTGTCTTACTCATCCTGATTAGATATTATAAATTCCTAACAAGTACACGGAGAAAGATGGAGCCTTATTACATTAATTTAAAGAAAGAAGTCCAATAAAGAAAGCTTAATTTTTTTTTAATGACCAAAATACAAGATATATCTAGCCTACTCCAAAGGATATAGGGAAGTGACGATTGTAGGTGAACTTGCAAGTAACATGTGTAGAAATAGAAACTCTTGAAATTTACACACTCAAACTCGCCTCCGATGATGTTTCAACCCCAACTTCTCATATGAGTACAAACCATTGGAAATGAACATTAAAATGATGATAAAATACACACATAAGAAACAAATTGCATGCTTTGATAGGCTTGAATAGTTTTATGATAAATAATAAGAAACTAACACACTGTCATGACATATTTTCCAACACATTGCATCTTCTATCTAGAACTGAAAAATGAATCAAATTATCCGAACTTAACTCATTAAAAATTTGTTCGAGATTAGTTCATAATGTGAACAAGTTAAGTTTGAACATAGTTTAGAACCTGTTAAGTTTCAATTCTAGCTTGAATAAACTACTACCCATCTCAATAAATTTATATGCATTATAAAAATAAAAATAAAAAGCTAGCTACATGAGCTTGGTTCAAGCAAAGTTCATTTGAGAATGACTCAAAAGATAAACAAGTTAAGTTTAAATATCTTTTGAAACTCGTTAAAATAAACCAACTAAATTTGAATATCTACTACTAAATCGTAATTTGCATGATACCAAATACGTAGTTGCTTTACTATGAATTTTCTTGACTTTGACATGCCTTAAATTAGTTTCATAATATAACTATTTATTACGTTGTCACAGTTTTAATCAGTTGATTTTTTATATATAAAGAATTTCATATTTAATGTATAAATGCATGAAATATAAATTTTATTACAAATGAATTTATGTATTAAAGTTATAGCATTTCAAAATAAATAAATAAGCACAAATTCACAAATGTATGTCAAGAATTGTCTGTGTCACGGAATATTTAAACTTACCAATGAGCAAATTGATGTGTGCCTTTATAATTAAAAAAGACCAAAACTTGGACCTCTATCACAAACCGGTCTATATTTTATAGACTTTTAACCAATTTTTTCTAAATTTTTTATAGAAATTATTTAGTTATTAAATATAAAAATAATGAGATTACACTTATGTCTAGCCTAAAAAAATTAAGATAAATTACACATATACGTTTTAAGATTTGCTTAAATACGAATTGCTTCTTGTAATTTTGAAAACTATATCTAGCCCCTTGAAGTTTTTATTTTCATAATAAATTATCATTTTATCAATAAATCATCAAGTCAATTAATAATTTTTAATAATGTTAGAAATATGTTCTAATTAATAATTTAGATAATTTTATTATTGTATAGAAAAATAATTAAAAAATTAGTTAATTCTATTAAATAAATTTTTTTATAATAAAATATTTATAATTTTTTAAATTATAAGAGATAATTTGTATTTTAAATAAATTATAGAGTATATTTATAATTTATTAAAAATAAGGGAAATTACACAAAAAATTCCAAGGTTTAGCGCCTTTTTCAAATTAAATCCCAGATTTCAAATTGTGACAATTTGTATCCACCATTCCACTCGTGTTGCAATCCAATCCCTTTATTCATCTCCGTCTCTATTAGTCAACGAAAGATTGATTTGGGTGCCAAAATTGCCCTAATCTTCACGATTTAGGGCAAAAGACATCCCTCCATTGCGATTTACAACTCCATGCAACCCACCTAGTGATCCAATCCGCGATTGAAGCCACGCATCGAAGGAAGACAGCAATTTTATAGTTGATTTTCCAAAAAGCTTTGGACTCTGAGACAGAGGTAAGAAATGAGTTTGTTTTTGGTTGTTTTATATGAGTTTTCTTCTTTCTTTTTGTCTCCATTGTTGACCTTCTTTTTTTATTATTCGCTTATGACATTGTTTTTCTCTCAACTGTTTGTGCACACTTATTGTTTATTGCTTTGTGACATTGCTTTTGTCTCCGACTGTATGTATGCCTCTGTATCACTAAATACATTGTGGTCTCAGGGTCTCTATTATTTTTGTAGAGTCTTCTGTGTCTGCTTTTCTATCATATTTTGTCTGGAGAATTGTGGGCCAAGTTGCTTTATATGAGGGTTTTGTTTTTTTAATATGCTTTGTTTTGCAAGTGGACCCATAGTTATTGTTATTATTGTTTTGTTTATGTATGGATGCAGTAATGACAACTTTTGTTAAAGTTCTGATACACCACAGTGACTATTTTATTAAGAATGATGAAAAGAGTTATGTTGGGGGTAATGTGGATATATTTGATGCAGTTGATATTGATAAATTATCTGTCCCAGAGATTACCTGCATGTTGAAGGAGTTAGGTGTTTTTTATTACAAGAATATTTTTTATAGGATTCCAAACAAAAATTTGGTCTTAGGGTTAAGAGTGTTGGCTAATGATGATGCTATTAGAGAAATGTATTCTTTGTTGGAAAATACAAATACCTTAGAGCTATTTATTGAGCTTCATAAGCCACATAATGTAGATATTGTTCATCTAGTGTTATTCATTACTGATGTGCCAGTGAAAGATGTGGAAAAGATGGAAATTACAACAATGATCATTGTCAAGAGGACTCAAACACTGACAGTGATGGCAATGATGACCCATCAGACAGGGATTTCTCAGATAGTAGTGATGATGATGATGATCCTGATCCTGATCTTGATAACATTATGTTTGATAGTAATGTTGAGAGAGATGCCAATGAAAAAGGGCTTAAAGAAGGTCATGAGTGTGAAGTGAATGATACAGATTCATTTGAGGAAGAATTGGTTACCCCTACAGGCTCTGATGATGAGGATCATAACAACAGGCCTAAGTACCCTAAATTTAGGCCTGAGGTTGGTATGCAGAACATAGAATTCAAACTAAGAATGTTGTTTAGTATTGCAAATGAGTTCAAAGATGCTGTTAAGGAATATGCGGTAAAAGGAGGATATGATGTGAAGTTTACTAAGAGTGAAAAATGAAAGGTTCAAGTGAATTGTAGTGTTGGAAGTGAATGGAGACTGTATGCATCTAAGATAATTGGAGAGAACACTTTGCAGATAAAATTATATCAACCTAAGCACTCTTGTTGTAGAACTTATAAGAATAGACAAATGACTAGTTCTTGGCTGGCAGAGAAGTATGTCCAGAAATTTAGGAGCACCCTAACATTGAAAGTGAATGAGTTTCAAGAAACTATCAAAGAGGATTTTGTTGTAAGTGTGCCAACTATGAAAGCTTATAAAGCCAAAAAGACAGCAATTCAGAAGATTGAGGGAACTAATATTGAACAATATAGTAGGATATAGGATTATGTAGCTGAGTTGAAAAGAACCAATAAGGGTACTAATGTTGACATAAATGTGTGGAGGCCTCAATTAGAAGTTAAACCTAGGTTTCGGAGAATGTATGTATGCCTTGGTG